TATTATTCAATATACTTGACGCACTACATCAATAAAATTTTTAAGTTTTAATGATAAAATTAAAAGTTTTTAGTTTAAATTCAATCTAAAATAGTAGTTATAATTATAACTTGATATCAACTCAGCTGCTGTTTCTTAAAAAAAATCATGGTAGGATACAATTTCAAATGCCCTGTCTCCAAACTATGAAAGAAGCCAATTGAAATTGAACTGGCAATATTGTTTGTCGTAAGATTGAGATTAGTCACAGACGCAGAGACAAGAAATTTTGTATGAAATGGTTCATAATCTTTCACTTTTAATTCATAGTAATAATACAAATAAGCAATGGAGCCAAATTGCGACATACAAAAATATATATAATTATTATTATTTTAAATTAATATGTCTTCTTAATTTAAATTATGCCAGTAATCCTATTATAAAATCAAACGTTTATTACATATTGCATACAATTATTTATTTGAATTTAAAAAAAAAAACCTGACGTTGAATAATGTTCATTTGAGAATGGTGGGCTCCATTTATGAAGTAATAAATATTTTAATAGTAATTACTGGCTTTTTTTTTTTTTTTGGTGCGTCTTCGATGAATCTTGGCTGTGTCCTTAACAATTAACATTCACGAGCTTACCTAAACAAGCAGCCACCAATAATTTTTTTGGTGGATTAATATTGTATGGTCAAATAACCTTTTTATGGAATACTTGACTTCAGTCTTCATCAAAAGCCTTATTTCTCCAAAAAAAAAAAAAAATCAAACATGGGTAATGTAGGTATGCCTTTCTTGTAAGCTTCATAGTTCAAAATGAAGACATTGATTCGTTCAGACCAAAATTTCCCAGGTCAAAACAAGTGGCTTGCAGCCTAAATGCTTCTTCCTAGGAATAAACAACAAAACAAAATCCCATTTTTTTTACTAAAAAACAAAACAAAGGAACCTTTTAATAGTTTTCCAATACGGAATTAAAGCATGTAATATGTAAATTAATACCTCCTAGTCGAAGTAATTACATGCTTTAAATCTCAGTTTTGAATTTTTTATTTATTTATTTCTTTCTTCTCTTTCAAGAGATGGGAATTCTTCAAAGTACCTTAGAAAGTTAAAAAAAAAAAAAGGAGAAAATATATTAGAAATTTATCAAAAATGTTTAGTGATATGTCTGAGGTGGTATTTAAATAATGAAATAAGCAATTACTAATTGCATTGTCTTTTTAAAATTTGATGGAAATAATATATTAAATGCAAAATATTTTTAATATAATATTTTAAGTATTTTAACATGTATTAGAATAATAATAATATAATATAAATACGTGTATCATCATGTCATTAGTTTTACTAAAACTATCAGTTAAAAAATACATTTGTCTAAATTTTATAATACAATAGCAATCTATTGATGCATAGACCAAATTGGAATTTTTTGTATAAAAGAGATCTCTTACAATAGATTTCATATAGTAAAATTCATTTGGTGGCAGAGTAGATATTGTGCACGTCTGCAAGAAAGATGGCCAGGGACCGTTCCCTGGATGCAATGTTTCAAGTGTGGAACAAACATATGAAATGACAGTTTTCACAAGGCGCGGCTTCGTTGTCCCACTCAAAGTTCCGAAGCACAACAGTCCATAATTTTGTGGGAACATCTCGATTTGCTAGGACCCAACGTCCCAATGAATTTAAAGCTTTTTATTTGGTAACTAGGACGGTGAGCGCCATGTTTCCTCAGGCCTTTGGGAAACTTCTCTTACTTTCAGTTGGGTTAAAATTGCAAGTGGAATGTGAGAAAATTGGTCCAAAACAATTTGTTTCAATCCCTGGCTTGGTAATTGGAATGACCACTTTTTTGAACCCATTAGACTAATGTTTTGCTAAGTTTGAATCCATTAAATTATTTATGATTTAAGTTTAACTTAACTTGTGAGCGGATCTAATTTTATAACAATATAATGAAGCGATAAAAAAAAATTTTCATTCATGATCCAAATTAAACACAGACAAATAAAATGAGACAATTTGACTAAACAAATATATAAATGTAGCAGCTAAAAAAATTATTACATTTGGTGCAATTTTGATTTCCTAGTAATTGCGGCTGATTTTTTCTTTTCTTTTTTTTTAAGAAATCATTGTGGCTGATTTTCATTGCCTTTGTATGGACCTAAAGTAAAGGAGGATTAGATCTCCGAATAACTCGGAAATAGAAATTGACTGAACTTGAGTCCTCACTATTATTGAAAAGGGTTTATTTATTTAAGTTTCTAATTGCGTATAAATATGAAACACGTGAATGAACCTTCAAAGAAGAAGTAAAGTTCAAATCGCAAAAGGATCTTCACGTTAAGGTGGACGGTGATGGGAACAAAATGTGAACATGATCATTTATGTAATAATCCTTTTATAAAATATTAATAATTTATATATTTATATCATGTTATATATTATAATTATATATTATAATTTATATGATATAAAAATATAAAATTTTTATTTTATTAAAATTTTAAATTATATTATTTTTATATATTATCATATTATATTTAAAATTTTATTTAAAACTTGCGACAACGTACAGTCCCAGTCGCCAGACCTAAAGCTGTTGCAGTCACGGACGCTGCCGTCCTAAAGCTATAAATTGGTTGCTTAAAGGTGACTGATGACTGTGACGCCCACCGCGGCCCTTTGTTATTTGTTGTCAATGTGTCAAGCCGTTGGTCAAAATTAAATGCCAAATTCTAATTCAACACGATAAAAAAAAAAAAAAAAGTCAACTAAGGGTGTTTTTCTGATAAATGGAAAATCAATCTCCAATTTGAAAAGAAGATCCTCTTTAATGCAAAAAAAAAATATTGCATTAATCATCTTAACATGAAATCATGAAATAGTTAACATTTCTATAACTATTTAATTATTTTTAGTAGTGAAGAGTTTTTTATTTCATAAATTAATTTTATTGTACATAAATCAATTTAGATATAAAATAAATAATGAACATCTCTATTGCTTTTTAATAACAAAAGGATTCTTAATTTGTTAAATATCATATTTTATGAATATTTGAAAAAATTAATTAAATTAAACTTTGAATTAACATATTTTTATTAATTAAAATAATTTATTCCATGCATTATATGTACATATAAACTCTCAATTTGGAGCTAAAATTTTTATTTCCAAATCTGCCAACAACTTGCCTCAAGGGTTCACAAACAGCTTGCGGCGAATCCATTTAAGCTGAACAATTTTTTTTTTTTAATAATAGGTGAGGGGTGTTTCAAGCTTAAGCTAAACAAATCTGACCACACAGTAATCAATTGATGAATGAAAGACTAATATAAAAAACAATAATACTTAAAATCAATCAAAAACCTCTGTATGGTGGTTCTACCGTTCAGGATTTGAGGTTAAATGTTGACATGAAGGGTCCAAAACCATTCTGAAATGTGAAATCTTGCGATGGATTCCACGAGCGATGCTTCTCAATCCACGTGGTCAAAAAAAAAATGGTAAGGAAGAGATGGCAAAGTCAAATATCATTTGAGACCACGATGCCCAAATACACGTAAGTGATACAGGACAGAAACGGTATTTTGTTGCTACACGTCAGGTTTTGTTGTTGTCTCTCTCCATTCTCATAATTAAAAGGGCTTGGGCTACCTTTCAGCGCCAGTACTTTTTGGCCCACAAGACCTTCAAAGATTTTGCCATGTCTTTTCTTGTGGGGTTCTACCATCATTTGTTCATTTTGTTTGTACGTGCAGCTACATGGGACATGACTTGATTCGACCAAGTATCTTTGAATTGATATTTTCACAAAGATTATGCTTGGGGGTATGGTTCGAAAAAAGATTAAGTTTTGTGTTACTTAAGGGGAGGGAATTTGGTAGCAAATTGGCTTTGCCATAAAGAGAAAATGATTCAGATTCACCACTTGGTTATATGCCCCTACCATGGAGCTTAAAATCTCAATTGAGTTGCATCATCACCATTCAACTTCAATATATGATTTAAAATATATATATCATTTGTTAACTTACCTTTTTTCTGTTTACCAAACTAAACCCTATAGTAATGAACATGTAATTTTTTTTCTCCTTTTAATTGAGCATGGTTAAGTAATGAAACTAGCGACTAGAACTATAATTTTTTAGCATGCATTGTGGGGAGGGGGGGATAGGATGGGGTAAATGGGTCACTTGGGTTCAAACTTCAAAGGCAAAAAGTACTACCCCATATGGTTTTGGGTAACTGCCGAGCACTTAACCAAATGCGGCTTTCAGTGGATTTGAAGCAAAGCCCAACCCTTGATGAAAATTTTAGGCTTTTCCGTAAATCCAAGTATCACACCAATCATCCCATAATAAAAAGCTAATTATATATAATATATAGGCGTAATGGTTTTTTTATAAGATAAACATAAAAGGTAAGAATTCAAAGGCAGATTAAGTATTTTATGTATGAATGAAATTTATCAAATTATTTTAAAAAGTGGATATGAACTAAAAATAATTAATAAATTTTACTACTTATAATTTAAAATTTTTCAATATTTTAAAACAATTATTTTAATTTTATTATTGTTTAATTTTTTAATAAATAGGTTTTTATAAAAAAAATCTCCACGTGAGAAATGATTCTAGTAAATAGTAGTTGTAGGCTAGTAGCTGCCATGATTTTTTTTTTTCTTTTTAAGAAAAGGAAAATTAGAATTATAATCTTTGATGATTGAAAAAAAAAAACATAATGAATCAACCACCTCACTAACTTTTTTTTTTTTTTAGAAAACCACTTGACTAAATGTTTAGATGATTAGCTTACAACAAATTTTTTTCTTACAAAACTTGACATAATATTTTAATGCCATCTTTTCCTTTTTCCTTTTTTAGTCTTTATAGTTTCTACCCGTTGATCTATCCAAAATGGGATTTTTTTATATGAAATTTTCCATTGATATTTACTTGCCTAAATAATGACTATGCCACATAACAACACTATAATAATGACAAACCACATTACAGTTCCATTGCTTATCTGTATTACATTTTGGTTGAGATTTTTTTGTCGTCAAAACTCAAATTAATCAACACATTTTCATCCCAAAAACGCCAATTATGAAGACCAATGAAGGCAAATAACTTGTGCTAACACTTTTTGGAACCATACCTCTCAACCCTTTCGTCAATCCATTCCCTCGTATCCTTCAACACAAGATTTGCATTCTCATCAGGCTCCCCTTGTATCAAAGAATGATACATCCCATCATACAGCTTCAAGCTCTTGTCCGTACTCGATGCCTTTTCATACAACAATTTGGATGATGTTGGGCAGGTGATTCCATCACTTGTCCCATGCACTGTAAAAAATGGTACCGTTACCTTGGAGAAATTGTCCTGAATGAACTGGCACATCCTAGCAAGCTCTCTCATGGTCCCAACTCTAGGCGGCCCCGAGTATCTCCTTGGATTCGAGACTATGATCTTCAGCTTTTCGGGGTCCTTGATTGCCTTCCCAACCATCTTGTTATCAGGCATTATAGCCCATGTCTCGGCTAGTCCAAAGAGCAGACCATACATAAACAACCGGACCTTACTAGGTTTCATGTTCTCAGGCATGACAAAGAGCGGGGCTGAGAAAATCAGACCCGTCCAAGTTTCAGGCTCCGATTGGAAGTACATCAGCATTGTTGCTGCTCCTCCCATGGATTCACCAAAGAGGAATGCTGGTAAGCCTTTGTATTCCTCACTGTACCGGACGTGCTTGAAGAATGATAAAGATGTGGCAGCCACTTTCTCCATGTCACCTACATCAATAAAACTTGAAAGAGTTACAGGTGTGTTAAGGCAATTGAATATCCTTAAACTCCAATGGAAGTGAACAATTTTTGAATCAAAAGTTCATCATATAACAAGTTTCTTTGTTTTCTGAAAACATGCTAACACAAATTCAAACTACAGAGTGGGAACGAACATTGATGCAACAAAAAACCTTAAATAGTTATCTTCGGTGTCTGACCATCCATCTCAAAACCGGAAAAAAAAAAAAAAAAAAAAAAACAGAGATTGTCTTTGATAGAAATAAGGTTAAGTTAGGAATCTTGAAAAGTACCTAAGTAGCAACGGAGACCATCTGATCTGCCATGTCCGAGAAGATCAGCGGCGAAAACAGCATAACCCTATGTGGCAAGTTTGATGCAAATCTTCTGGAACATCCAACCAGTATCCGATCCATAGCCGTGGGTCATGTAGACCGAAGCCTTGACCTTTTGATCCAAAGGCACAAAGCTCTGCGTGAAGAGTTTCCCGTTAGGTGTCTCGAAGTAAGACTTGCTGTTTCGGACACCCTGCGACGTGTAATACTCTTCTTCCGGCATCCGCCCCCAGAAATTCGCAGGCGCTTCACCTTCATTTCGGACGCCTAAGGTTTTCGACTAGCGTTTCGTAAAGAAACTGGATTTGGAAGAAAGAGAAGGTGGATGATAGCCAATGAGGGGAAGAAAGGTGGAGCTCACCAACCATGTTTTGTAGGAGTGGATAAGAGTTGGTGCATATACCTATTGAGGGTCCACAATATGGGCTAGGTTAGGTAGAGGATAGCGTTGATTCTGTTTTGTATGAAATAAATCATTTTTGCTTAAAAAAATCCATTTTTAGAATCCAAATAACTCTAATTTAAAGTTTCTGGACCGAAATTTGCAGTAATTCAATTAGACAAGAGGTAGAATTTAAAAGATTGAATACTTCATAGTTCAGTAGTGTAAATTTTTATATGTATATACTTAGAGAATAGAAGAAGTTAAAGGGTGTCCATCACACCCATTCTTTTTTTTTTTTTGTATTAAATAAATTTTGTTAAAATAATCAATGAATTAAAGATAATAAAATAATTCATATCTTATTAATTTTGATTCGTAATAATCCAACAAAGGTATATTTTTCAATATTAGGTCGAGGTTTTTATTTTTTGAAAAATAAAGTTGAATTAAAAATGAAATTTAAGTTTTTTGTCTCATTTTAAGCGTTTACGTGACATTTATTTTTTTTATTAGTTTTTCTTGTTTTTTAAAGATTTTTTTTGGGTTTTTTTTTTTTTGCTTTTTGTTAGACAAATTTCATAATAAAAAAGTTAATTAAAAAAATAACTCATATCTAATGAATTTCAATTCATCTCGATCAAATTGATATGCTTTCTTTTAATTTAGGTTAAGTTTATTTAAAAAAAAAAAACGAATTTAGGTTAGAATAAAGTTTAGGTATTGTATCTCAACTTTGGTATATATAAGAAATACATTTTTTATTATTTTTTTAATTCTATATATTATTAAATATTATTAAATACCTTAATTTAATAAATTTATATGTCATCTTATTTGACTTTTTTTATCATTTTTTTTAATTTTTAAAAATTTATTTATTAGATAAATTTTGTAAAAAAAAATTGATATGAGTATTTTTATTTTTTTGTAAAATATTATTGAAATTATTTAATTTTGTAATGATTTAATTTGAAATTTATTGAATTAAAATTAAATTTTAAAATTATTTATAATAAAAATGATAAAAATTTTAATTATTTAATTGAATCAAATTAATTTTGATAAGTTATTTAAAAAATTTTAATCAATTATTTGTTAAATAAAAATTAATTTATTAAAATTTTTAAAACGAATCGATCCAACTTATCAATTTATTCACTCCTAATAGGGGGACGGGTTGCGGGAAGGGCTTAACTTTTTCAGCTGTTTGCTAGGTCTGGGAGTCTGGCTCAGCCCAACAAGTCCAATTCCCAAAGACTCTGATCAATGTTGCCCTGTTTCATGTCTGAAAGCTGTATTAATGGGCCATCATTTTCATCAGCAATGGATGGGCCTAGGATGCTGTAGTTGCTACTTGCTACTCGATATGACTATAATTAATTTTGCAGTGCAAGGTAACATAGTCGTATGAGGAATGAATCATAGCTCTTAACCCAAATATACATAATCTTTGATGTATTTATGAACAAAACTAAAGGAATAAATGAAATTTAATGAGCAATTTTTCTTTTGCTAAAACAAAGTATTAAGCTTTTATTTTTCTCATTTTTTATAAAAAATATGTTAAAAATAGTTGAATAATATATAAATTTATCGCTTTATTTATGCAAGTGATCTAAAATCATTAATCTTTCAACTGTTATAATTTTACCACTATGCTTTCAAATTTGAAGTAAATTTATTATCGTAGTTCTAATTTTGAAGTAAATATGGTTAAGATATAACAGTTGAAAAATATATTGCAAAAATGTTATGTTAGAAATTGTTTTACAATTAAAAAAATTAATAATGACATGACAAGAAAAATGGTCAATTGTAATTAAAAAATATAACGTGATGTTATATTTAATAGAAAACGCTATAATAAAAATATAGACAAATTCTATTCATCATAAAATGCATGTAATTCCTCAATGAAGTCATCTTATCACTTTCATTTTTAATTACTTCATTGGATGTTCCAAAATTCAATGCGTAAAGTTACTATTTTTTTTACAACAGACATAACAAATTGAAAATAAAAAAAAATTATATGAATCAATTGAATTAAACATATTATTTGTAATAATAAAATTAAATAATTCAAAAAAGATTATTTAAAATAGAGACTTGACATCATATTAAATATTAAGTGATTCTTTTAACATGATCCCTATAGTTCCCACCAAATGGCCTTAACTTAGTGCCTTGGGGTAGAAGGTCAGGAAGCTAAAAGAAGTTGGGAAGGAGAGAGGGAAGTAAATCTATTAACTGGAACTTTAGTTCTTTACACAACTACCCTACATTGAGTATGATCTATTCCTTTCTAAAATCCCTTCTCAAATTTACTCATTAAATTACTATCATTACCTTTTTTATTCCAAATCCAACCAACCCAACCAACACATACCCCTCAACAACCTCATTCCAATTCACAAGTCTTTCCAACACTTGTGCTTTTGCACAAACTTTGCATCACTTCAAACCAACTCTATTAAGAGAGTAGGAAAAGTAATTCCAAAAAAAATAAAAATGAGCCAGCTAGGAAAATCCTAGAGTGTAAGGTTTTGCTTGGATGATTCAACAGACAACAATTCCTTGGAATTTAATGGAACTATGACAAGGACTGAAAATGACACAACCAAAAAGATCATTATAAAGGAGAATATAATAAAACCAAGCTAAAGTGTTCATAATCAAGCTTTAATGCTTTCTTAAGATCATATTCATATCTTTTATTTCATTGATGATGGTGATACCATGAACCCATAGTTGATTTAAGCCACTCATTATGGAACCTCCTTTTAATTGTTAAAACTATCATCATCAATAAATCAAGATTTCTCAACAATGACTTTGATTGGACTAAAAGTTGTGCCTCATATGGGCCATTGAAATTGGGAAATAGTTTTCAAGATTGATATTTGGGTTATTCCTTTGTCCACAATTTACCCTTTCACAAAAGTGTTGTTTTCATGGTGAGGTGATGGAAACTTTAAACCTATTTCACATTTATACAAAGTCCATGGATGGCATTTTAATCCCCTTGGAACTTAATTTCAACACTTGATTTGTAAGATAGATTACCATTTTCCAATGTGGTCACCTATAGAGAAGGCTTCGATGTGTATTACTAAAGATGAATTCTCATTTCTTTTTCCTTTTTGTTTTTTTGGTTTCTTATATTTGGGTCTTTAAGATGATTTTGTCGATTAATTTAGTTAGTAACTTTTTCGTTTTTGCATTTATATAAATTCTTCAAAAAAAATCACAATCTAAAATAAATTAAAAATTACAAATATTAAAATTTGATTTTTAAATTTATTAAATATTATTTTTTAATAATTACATAAATCAATTACGTTAAATCTCAATTTCAATATAATATATTTTTAAGTCTTTCATATGATTCAAATTGAATGGTAATCTTACGCAGACATCTTAAAATTTAAAGACAAAATTGACAAATTTTCATTATGATAACCTCCTCGTGATGCTGAGCTAAGCATGAGTTTTAAAATACTGATACATAGAAGTTTATCATTCAAGGTTAGGTTGCCATATTGCATTGTCAAATTAGAAGATTAAGAGTTAATTAACCATATTTATCTATATATAAATATAAGTGTCATTCTTTGTCATATCCAGCTTGGACCCCCGCAATTAAGAATATTACTAATTAATTAATTGCAAGTAAAAGTATTATATCATAATGTGAAATTTTTAATGCCTAACTTATAAAAAAAAAAGTGAATAAAACTATATATATTATTATATATATTATTGTCCCCATGCTATAGAAAGTTAGACTTTGTTTTGGTAATTATTTGATTATTAAATTTTTGTTTTCAAAGTCTCCGAATAGGCAGTAGATACGTTCTTTTATGCGGGTGCTTGTCAATACATATCATAGTTGGTGGAGAGATAATACATCAAGCTGTAGATGTGTATATGCGTCTCAACTAAACTTGATTAGCTTTTCAAAGACCTTACTCAAGGTTTGGTCTTATCCGTCAATTTTAAAAATTTTCAAAAAAAATTAAATATTTTAAATTAAATTTAAATTTAAAATATTTTATTAATAATTTAATATTTTAAGTTGCCTCCTACCAAGTTCAAACTAAAAAAATCCATGGTTAAGGACCGGAACTGATCAAAAGAAATTATTAGTAAAAGAAAAACTTTAATTAGTGGATACTTTAGTTAGTGGACAGCAGTTTTGGATTAAGAAGCAAAATGATCAAAAGAAAAAGAGATGATGATTATCTTTTTGTTTATACTGTACAACTCACTCTTCCAGGTCTTCTAGCTGTACCCAAGTTCTATCCACAAAGAAGAACACGAAAAGTGGACTTAATTAGAGTTTAGTTTTGAGAGTTAGGGTTTTTTTTTTTTTTTTTTTATAGATTGAAAAAAATAAATTAATTTGTCTTAACTCTTCAACTTTTATAAAATTTTTGCATGCAACACATAATTAAATTTTCATATCAAAAGTTTATTTGATTCATTTCAATTCACTCTGAATCTTTGCAACAAATTATAAAAATAAATTTGATCGTTTTGATGAAATACATTTTTTTTTAATTTTAAGCCCTAAACATTTTTGTTTTATGATCAATTTGATGATATGTGTGTAATCAGCGGCTTAAGTTTAGTGATTAGAAAATAGATAATTTTTTTCATTATGAATTAGCTTTCGGTGCAAAAAGTACAAAAGCATTTAGACAAAAAAAAAAAAAAAACGAGTAATAAATTTTGTCACAATGTAGGTAAGTCTTGATGTAAGAAATTATTGTCACATAATAATTCTCAAATAATGGTGCATGTAATGTTGACAATGAAGTGGCCTTATAGTCAAATTGATAATTGAAAATTTTAAAGAATCCAATAATCCATTATTATAAGCTGTCAACATTTTTCAACAATAATCAAACTAGAAAAAGTTGCTTACTTCAAATCAAAGATGTAAAACATAAATTGTTAAACATTGAACCTCTCCACAACTTTGCTTTGGAACAGATTGATGATAAATGATGTTGACTTTTTTTTTTCAATGGTCAAATAATCAAAAAGCAATGGTACAGTGTGATAGCACTCAAATTCCCACTATAAAGATCTTTTGTATCTGTTCAATTACCTCTAATTTGTATGATTCATACACATAAATTTTCATATTCAATAAAATATTAATTGGTATCTTTTGATGAAATTTTCCCTACCTCACAATCATCTATTATAATATCTTTAATATAATCAATATTGAACCCAAGACGCAATTGAATTGATTCATGTAATCGTTTTAAAATTTTAATAGTTATAATCATTTTATTTTGAGTAGGGATGAAAATTCAATCCGATCCCGGTAGGTTTCGACCCGAACCTATGAGGTCGGGTTTTTTTTTTTGAATTTCGGGTTTCGGGTCTGGTCGGGTCGGGTAATGTTAGGAAATAATCGGGGTCGGATTTTAGGCATACCCGACCCTATCCGACCCGATATTATTTAAAAAATTATTTTTTAATTATTTATTTATATATATATATTTATATAATAATATTTTTAAATATTTATATTTAAAAAATAATATTTTTATTAATTTCGGGTCGGATCGGATCGTATACGGATTATATAATATCGGGTTCGGGTCGGGATCGGGTATGAAAAATAAAAAATTTTGGATCGAGTCGGAGGGTTGGGTTTATTGATGATAAAATCGGGTCGGGTTCGGGGCGAGCAAAACCCGCCCCAAACTCGACCCGATGCCAATCCTAATTTTGAGTTTGGGCATGCTTACTAACTTGCTCATATAATACATTATTAATTCAAATATTGAAATCCATTAAGTGGGAGGAAATTTAGTGATTCTTGAAATAAACAAAAACTTATAACTATAAAATTTTTGTTTATGAGATTACATATTACAATCAAATTTAAAAGATATTTCTCTTTGAATTAGTTGAACTTGTTGTACTAAGTACTATCTTTCTTTTTAATTAGTGTAAGAAAGTGAGAGCTAAAAGTTGAACAACCCATTATCCAAAACAAAAAAATTTATGCCTCTTTTTTGTTTCTTTTTTTTTTTTTTTCAGCAAAAGCTTCATATTTTTATGGAATAAAGATTGAGAAGGGAATTCTTCTTCCATTTTTATTTTTAGCTAAAAAAGAGGAATCTGATTGTTAGAAACTTTATCTGAATGGCAGCAACATAAGGGCCCATATAGACATCAGCAGCTGAGAAAGGGGAAGACAGGGTGAAGGGTGACTCAAATGGCATGCTTTTGCAGTTGGCTTTACGTCCAATTTTCATGTTTTCAGTCTTCCTTTTGTCTCATTTCTTTTGATGTTCTTCAAATGAGATATCATAAAATATTGAGGGAAAATTTTTCTCCAGAATCGAATCATCAATAAATTCACAATTTTTTGAATTGGGTTTTCAGGATGTGAAAATCCCATGCTGCCCATGCAAAAAAATTTTGAAAAATTGCAAACAGCTTTTTTTTTTAGCCTTAAAATGGTGGCGGAAATGGTATTACCATTCCGGGAAATGGATCATTAATTATCTAAGAACAATGATCACCTAAGTTATCTCCCTTCTCAACAAAGATTTTTTTTTTAATTTTCGAACCCTATCTGTTGACAAGTAAAGTTCGCTTGGGGCTAAATTATTTATCACTGAGCTAACACCTCGTTGATAATTGCAAAGAGCTTCTAAGTCCTTGGAAAAAATGATTATGAACTTTGAATCGAAATTGATTCTTGAAGTGGAGAAGAAAGGAATCTAGATAGGACCCATCCAAATTTATTAAATCCTTCTAATGAATTTAAGGGTTTAAAGTTTTATTAAGTATGATTTAGTTTAATTTTATATTAAATTTATTTATTCGATTATTTAATGATATAATATTTAATTATGATTTTAATTTTTTTTACTTATATAATTTTAAAAAAAATCAAGGGTTGAAAAAAATAAGATCGGTTAAATTCATCAAACAAATAAGTTATTGTCATTATGAAAATGGGAATTTGAATACTTGTTTCTTATTTTATTTTGTTACAAATATCTTAAATGATGCATATCATAGTTTGTCTTTCGTTAAATGCATATTAGATGTGTTTGATATATAAAATTATAATAAGATAAGGTAAAATAATATTACAAATATGATTAAATTAAATAATGATATCTTATCTTGTGTTTGATATATACGAAAATTAAAAAAAAATTTATTTATTGATAAAAATTATTCTTTGTTAAAATTCATACAATTTAAGTTGTTAATATAATTTTTAAAGATATATTAAAATATGTAAATTTAATCTTTTAAATTAAAAATAATTATCTTTACTTTAAAAAAATTGAATTATTCTATACGAAAATTATTATTTAAAATTTTTTTTATAATTTTATCTTTTTTTTATATATAAATAAAATATGATGTAAAATAATTATTATCTTATTTTATCTATCATTTTATGCATCAAACATTATTAATATATCTTATATAAAAATATATCAATAAAAGATTTAGATTCATTTAAAAGGGTGATGAAAAAAAAAGTGTTTTGCAATTGAATCCTACGCTCCCAAATGGAGTTGAAAGCCATCCCTCACTAATGAGCTAACAAAATCAGTAAAAAATGCTGAAAATATATGCTAATTACTATAATCAATTTTCAAAGCATATACTACACAAGTTTCTTGTAGACAAAAATTATTAAACTGAACTCCAAAAAATAATCTAATTGATTGATGCAAGAAAATTTTATAATTTAAAATCTGTAATTTTTTAATTCTTATAATAATATATATCTGACAAGAAGGATGACTTTTTACTTGCTCCGATTAGACACAAATGAAAAACAAATAATAGATGTAATAATTAATTATTTTTGCATAAGTGCAATTGCAACTTAAGGAGTCGAGCCCTGATCATCAGGACCTGCTGTTATATAACATCCTTAAAAGGTCTTGGTTCAATTAATTTTTTAATTTGTTTTAATAAATAAAGATTCTTCCATTTAATTATTGTATAATTTTTTTTTATTATGAAAAAATTTAGAAGTAAAAAATATTATTTCATCTTCAACAGTAAATTGTTAATCCATAAAAGAATTTATGTATTTTTAAAAAATTTTTAAATTTAAATATTTTATGTTTAAATTCAAAATTTTAATTACGTGTGCCAACTATAGGCTTCTATACAAATTTTGCTCCTGCATCTGCATGTTATCGTGTAGGAATTTCAAAACCCATTCCTACCCACCATAGAATGAAACATTAAACTTCGATTTCATTTCTCTCAAACCAAGGAAGAAAAGTGGAAATGCACATGGGGTTGAATGATTTGTTATTTGTTGGGATAGTCAATAGAACAAGGAACAACTAGGCAATTAGAGCGAACGAAATCTGGAACTGACAGGCTTCATTTTAGAAAAATCACCAAATTGATGTGAAAAGGTTCAAATTCGGCGCATGCGGCCACTAACCCAAGCCAAGGAGTTATATAAAATATTTCAAATATATTATTTTTATATGTTCTTATATCATATTATATTTAAATTTATAAATTATTTAATAAATTGTAAGTAATTTTGAAAAAAAGTTTTTGTGATTTAATTTAATTTTTGAAAAATCCGACCGTTACGGGTTCCACTATGGTAAGGGGCCCACCACTAACACAAACAAGGACGGGCGGGGCTATCTTGAAACAACTAGAAACAGGCTGTACTGGAAAGTGACACGTGTCAAAAGGGACAGGCTGGAAGGAATGTGGGACCGTAACGAATGATAGTGACGTGACTCCTGGTGAGTAGTGGGGTGCGTTTTTGGATTTCTGGTCCCGACCATCATGCCCTCCGTTCCTATGACTCCCACCCCTACCAAAACGGTCAGGTTCTTGGGGCTCCCGCTCCTTCCTGTCCCTTGGCATTTTCTTTTGCTTTTCCTTAATCTTCTTTTTAATTGTCTCTATTTGTTTCTTGACCGCCCTTTTTTTTTTCTCGAACTAATAAACATAAAAAAATAGCTTGGCCAGCACTTGCTTCCTTATTTACCCTTCCATTTTACATATCTTTTACTTAATTTACGATTCAAATTTAAGATTTTATCTCAAATTTTTTATCTAAAATCTTATAAATTATAAATTTAATTAAAGGGGTGATTTCATTTTCCTATTCACTCTATCCATAGTAATACATAAATTAATATATTGCAAATAAAATTTTATCACGTATATGATTAATGAATTTCTTAAACTTACTTATACAATTAAAAAACTATAATGTATTTTTATGATATATTAGTATATATGGTTACATGTGTGGCAAGTGAATATGTTATTAGTATATTCTTATATAATTCTCTAAAAAGAGTATATCGTTATATAATGTATAATAAATTAAAATATATTTAGTAAGTATAATTCTCTAAAAAAAGTATATTGTTACATAATGTATAATAAATTAAAATATATTTAGTAAGAAATTGTTATATCTAGTTATACAAAAAAAAATCGTAATAATAAAATGATAAAAGATAAATATTATGGGAATATAAGTTGAAGAAATTCATTAACTTAAAAAAAATCACAAAACCTTATTTGAATAAATTTACCTTGCCTATGATTTAAGTTTTGAAAAGTTTACTAATTTAATATTCATAGATTACAAATAAGAAAGTGAAGTTGATCTAGTTACTTACAAATTTTATATTATAATTTAGAAAAATAGTGATAGAAGATGATATAAAGCGATGTTTTATCATAATTTAATTATAGAAATGTAATAGGATTACAACTTTATTTCAAAAATCATTTACCATAAAATATATGAATTGGATTAAAACTTGATTCCTTAAAATTAATAAAATAATTACTAAGTATGATAACGTTATCAATCAAAATTATTGTTACATATAACTAATAAAGTATAGTTTTTTTTTAAATTTATATTTAATACACTATCAATATATATTTTATATAAATAATTATTATAAGTGTATAACTAATAAAATATAATTCAAAAAAAAGCTTTATACAAATAAAATGACATTTAATTATTTTTTCTTAAACTTTTTGACAAAATAATGACTTGATATAAATAAAAAAAAAAAAAACTCTGAACAACACTACTTTAGAAATTGTTATATATATAAAAAGACATCAATATTTGTATCTTAACATTTTAGGCAAAAGGGTAAAAAAAATTCAACAAAAATTCAATAAAAACTTAGGGCCTTTTCATTTTATTATAATTAATTAAATCCTGAATTTTTTATTTTATATTAATTGAAACCTTAAATATTTATTTTCACTCAATTAAATCCTTAAACGTATATTTTCATCACAATTAAACTCTTGACTAGGCGAAAATGAATATTAACGATTAACCTAATTTCGTTTTATAAAGATTCAATAAGTGAAAATAGATGTTTGAAATCTTAATTGATTGTAATAAAATAATAAAAACTTTGAAAATTATTAAATTTTTGTTTAGGGTAAAAATATACATATTATTTTGTTAAGATAATATAAAAATAACAATGAATTAAAAAATTTTAAAGTTACGAAAAATATAAAAAAGTCTCATCCATTGCACTGAGTTAAAAAATTATTTTTTTAAAATTACATCAAAATTAATATTTTTTTATAAATTACATCAATCAACTTAAAAATTTTAAATAAATATGAAAATACTTGGAATTGTCGAGTTCTCACTATAATAACATAAAAAATTTTAAATTTTTTTTTTAATGATGTTTGAAGTTTATTTAGATTTTATCCCTATATTTATTGGAGAAATAGAAAATGTACAAATTTGATTCCTTATTTTTTGAACTAAAATTTGTTTCCTTATTAAACTCTCAAATAATATATTTTTTATGATTCACTTGAAGATCGCGAGTCGAAAAGATATTACGTACATAATATTTTCTGCAACTGAATTAAGTAATAGCATAGGGGATTAAGGATTGATTAGGAACATAAAAAATTAAAAATTTTCTTCCTTTCTAATTAAGTAATCACTAATCACTTGAATTAAATTTGAAATAAAAGGAAGGAATTTCTAGAAAGGGCAAATCCGTCCAACCAAAAAATAAATTAAAAAAAAATTGTCTAAAGAAAGGAAAAAAGTTGCCAGGCCAGACCGGCATCAAGCGGTGTCTGATTAGAAAAAACGTTATTTTAATTGATCATGATTTTCTCCTCTTCTCTTTGCCACAACAGTTTAATATCACAGTAATTAATTAAAAATTATTAAAAACGACAACAACAAAGAAAGAAAACCCTCTAAATAAAAAAAAAAATTTCTGATATTTTTTAAACGTAAAAGGAAATAAATATAAAATATAGTGAAACTAAAAGGCAAAGAGAGAGAAAACCAGAGAGGAAAGAAGAACGAAAACAAAGCTTTGATTTTAGTTTTCTCTCTTTATTTTGCCCCTTTCGAAACTTAGCAGGAGGGAGTCGGAAATCCGGCACTCGTGAATTTACCGTTTTACCCCTTTTCTTAATCGGACGATGACCGAGAGGCCGCCGCATACGGCGTTCCAATTGGTTTTCTGTAGGGTTTCAACTCCAGCACAGTTTTATTTTTAAAAAAGAAGGGAAAAAAACTTTCTTTTTTGGTTTTTGTGTTTAAATCTGGGAGAATATTTTGTGCCGTCCGATTCGATTTCGATCATGGTGATGAAAGCATGGATGGTGGTGGAAAAAGGGAGGAGAATCGTACGGACGGCATTTTTCATGGTGGCGATGTTGGCGTCCCTTCTAGCATCGTCTCTGCCGTTGCTGGTAGCGATAGGCGACATCATGTTCCCTTTCCTTCTACTCTCGAGCTTCACGTGCGTCACGTGCTACGGTTTCAACGAACACTTTCGTCGTTACGCTTTCAAAAACTCTTTAATCGATATCCCTCTCGTCTCCATCCTCAGATCCATCATCATCACTTGTACGGTTCTTATTTCCATTTTTTAAACAAAAAATTCAGAAAAAAGAAAGAAATTAATATAAATAGAATTTCTCATTTTGTTTTTGGGTTATAATTTGCAGGTGTATATTCGATGTGTGATGCTCCAGCTTTGTCCCATGGACCTTACTTAGGAACAGTTACTTTATGTTCATTCGTTTCGATTCTTGTACTTTCCGTTAAAGCTTGTGTTTTTACGGTGAATTCGCAAATAGAGGCAGAGGCATCGTCGGCTTATTCGTTGGCAAGGCAAAGGCTTCATTTGAAGAAATCGTGGGGAATGCCAGTTTTGTTTCTTTCGTCAGTAGTTTTCGCACTTGGTCACACTGTAGTTGCTTATAGATCAAGTTGTAGAGCAAGGAGAAAGCTTTTGTTTCATCGAGTTGACCCTGAAGCTGTAAGTTTTCTGGCTTTCTTCTTCTGGGTCAATTTCATTTTTGGGTTTTTCATTATATAAGCATTTGGTTATTGCTTTTGCCAAAATTTTTTTTTTTCACAAAGCCAAAACCAAGTAGGTAAGTTAAAAGTTGGAAATTTTCTGAAGACAATGCATGATTTTACTTAATATAGCATATTTATGTTGGAATTAGTGTTGGTTTTTTTTTTTTTTTCATTTGTTTCGTTTTTATAATAATTATTTTTGCTTTCTGAAGCAAAAAGCAAGAAAATAATTTTTTTCTTCAAAAATTCGAAGTTAAAATTTTAGTTCTTTTGAGGCATAAAATGTATGATTTTACCTTAATATGAAATGATTATGTTAGAATTGATTTTGCATTTTGGTTGTTTGTTTCTTTTTAGTCGACTGTGATTTCACATTCTATCTTTTTCCATTGTTTTTTTAGCAATTATTTTAGGCCCAAAAAAAAAAAAAAACCAGTGAAAAACCACAACTAAGTGGATTTTTTTTTCCCAAAGTTTATTATGAAAGAAACTGTGGTGGTTTTAGGTGTTAATTTTCAACTTCTATTGTTTTTCTGCTTTTTTTTTAAATAAGTGAAATAATCTTGTATTGTTTCTCCAAGTATAATTGAATGTGTTTTTCACTGCATAAGATGTAAGTCAGTAGTTTGATTCTACCGCAGGGTAAACTAATGCAACTACAGATCTCTTTATAGCTTTCATAGCTTTTGTTTTTGTATTGGGAGTATTGGTATTTTCTTTTTGGTTTGTAACATTCATGTTATTCCAGGTTCTTTCATGCAAAAATGTTTTCTCTGGCTTCCAAAAGGTTCCACGATCTCCCACTCCCTCTGCAGGGAAAACTCCAAAAAGTGACACTGAAACAAGGCGAAAGGCTTTTGGGCAATCTCATGATGATGAGGAACTCCCTGTTAGATTGCTTGCTGACATTGATAGCTTATTCATTACATTGCAAGGGCTTACCATTCATTACAAGCTTTGCTTTCCTGGTTCACCCCCTAGGTCTTTGTCATCTACTGCATTTCTAGAACCTAAATTTAGTTGCACACCACAATTGGCTCCCGGAAAGCTAAAGCTCGATAGGCAAGCACTAAGCGTGTTGTCGAAAACGCAATATCACCATCTTCACAGGAGCTATAGCAATCAATTTCACAGCTCTTCGCTTTATGCTCCACTGTTGGATGGTTCCCCAACCTCTCCTGTTCTTTCTGAAGATATTCCTGTTTTTTGCCTTGATGATCCAGTTGCACAGGTTGAGACAAGTTATTTGAACTCTGGAACTCTAGAGCAAGATATAGAGGCAAATGGCCAGTTTGGTATTGTTTTAGTGCATGGGTTTGGAGGGGGAGTCTTTTCTTGGAGACATGTGATGGGGGTTCTTGCTCGCCAGGTCGGTTGTTCAATTGCTGCTTTTGATCGGCCTGGTTGGGGATTGACTTCTAGGCCAAGCCGGAAAGACTGGGAGGGAAAAGAGTTGCCCAATCCTTACAAACTTGAAACTCAGGTTAGGTCTGAAACTCTTTTGGATGTTATTTGATTATTTAGGAGAGATGTGCTTTTATGGCAGGTAGGATTAATTCCCAAATTAAATGCCTTAAAGTGTTATACATTTTATGAAAAGTGTTTGCTTTTTATCTAGAATATGTCTTTTGGTAATAAGCAGTTCTTTCTGAATGCTCTAGCTCTCTCATAATTTATTGATATGCAGTCTTTTTTGAGTTTTATGGGCTTTCTTTGCATTATCTTTCTGTATTGTTTGTTTTCAAGGTTGACTTAATCAGTACTATGAAGTTCATAAATCTTATTACCTGATGTTTTCAGGTTGACTTGCTTCTTTCCTTTTGCTCTGAGATGGGGTTTTCTTCAGTGGTGCTCGTTGGACATGATGATGGAGGCCTGCTGGCTTTGAAAGCTGCACAAAAAGTCCAAGCCTCAATAAATTCTTACAATGTGAGTAAGCTGTCATGATTTTTCTGTACCAATTTGGATGTTTTAGACAACAAAATTTTATCTTTAGGTATATCCAGTATTCTGGTTCAACGTTATGCTGACACATCCACTTTAATAGCACTTCTACTGTTGTATAGCTACTTGATGTGGTGAAACAAGGAAAATCTCAGGGTTGCCTATAACAAACTGTGTTTTGTTACAGACGGTTGATTGTCAAATAAACAAAAATGAAATTCCATTTATGCTGAGCTTGGCAAAGTAGTTTGAAGAAGTGACTGGTCTAGTGTGGTTTTAGTTTTGACATTCTTAGGGAATCTCACCTTTTCTCCGTAAGTTTACTGCATGGGTCATTTTGCAAATTTGACCTTCTATCGTCGACATTATATCAAGTTGTAACCTCACATCTGTAACTGTTTTCAAATGTTTACTGAAAGTAAAGAGAATCTAGAGGAAGGAGTTAAACAATAAAACCTTTGTATTTTAAAGTAAAGAGAATCTTTGGTTACTCAAAGGAATGGCATTTTACATGGACAATATGGCAGAATTAAACAATTACTATGTTAAGAATAGGCCACCTATAGGAAGGGGTTTATTTATTTATTCATGTCAGCTTTCCTCTTTTAATTGACTGGTTCCTGATTTCTGAAAGATGCTGGTTGTGGGCTTTTAACTTATTGGAAGATTATTAAATTAAGAAGATACACCTATAGGAATTCTTTATTTAGTTCTTTATTCATGTCAGCTTTACTATTTCAATTGACTGGTTCTTGATGTGTGAAGAATATTATTTGTAGATTTAACTAATAGAATATTGCATATGAGATTTGAGGTATAGCTATTCACTATTTTGTAGCTGTACGCTGGAGTATCATTTCTCATTGAAATTCCAAATCATAGTCTTAACTAACATATTGGAAGATCTTTCTTCGATTGGATAAATGGTTAATGACCCACTTAAATCTCTGTTAGAAAGAATGCTTAAAAACCTTTGAGTTTGGTTCTTATTGTCTATCCTTTGTTTTATTTCGTGGTTTACTCAGATTTCAATCAAAGCAGTTGTTTTGCTAAATGTTAGCTTGTCAAGAGAAGTTGTTCCTGCCTTTGCAAGGATACTCTTGCGCACTTCACTTGGGAAGAAGCACTTGGTTCGTCCGCTTCTGCGAACAGAAATTACACAAGTGGTGAATAGGCGTGCATGGTATGATGCAACCAAGTTAACAACAGAGGTTTTGAGCCTCTATAAGGTATATTTGTTTCAAGATTAGAACGTAGACTAGTTATCTTGCTTATGAAAGGAGGAAAAATTTTGAGGAGAAACTAGTGACTCAGTGCATTAGAGTCTTAACTGTATTACATTTTATTTAATCTGGAGATGTAGGTTCTTTGGAACTATGGTTATGTTGCAAAATGAATGGGGGTATCTTTAAAAAGAAACAAACTTAAGATCCAAAAGCATAAAATAGCAGGCACATATGCACAATGATAACATTGACAAAAGTAAAAATTTTTGCATTTGCACAGACTGATTTTAATGAGTCTCCAAATATGCCTAAGAGAATCGGACACCCTAATTTTGAAAGAAAAAGAAGGGGAAAGGAAGCAATTTCCATCTGGATTGCTGCAGTTCTATACTGTTATTTTAGCATATGAAATAACATGCAACTAGATTATTTTGAGCCAAATTTTGGATGATCTTTCAACTGCATAGCATACTTAATCAAATTATCTTTTTTCATTTTTTGTAATTTAGACTTCTGAAATTGTATGATAGCTACCAGTTTGAAGTTTCAGTTTGTTTACCGATTTGATTTACTGGAACTTTATCTTGCTCCAATCAGGCTCCACTATGTGTAGAGGGTTGGGATGAGGCACTTCATGAGATAGGCAGGTTGTCGTATGAAACAATCATTTCACCACAAAATGCGACGTCACTGCTAAAAGCTGTTGAAGAGATGCCAGTATTGGTTGTCGCTGGTGCTGAAGATGCCCATATTTCTCTTAAATCTTCCCAGGCCTTGGCTTCGAAACTCGTAAATTCTGTAAGTAGTCTGCTTCAATTTGTATCTTCTATACTCAAAGTTTGAATTTAATAAAGATGGTTAATCTTCTTGGCGTACCACTCTTCTTTTGAGTGGTGGTCTTCAAGAAATTGAAAGATCTGGCACATAGAAACTCTACTCAAATCCCTTGTCAACTATTCTTGTCTTGAAAGAGTGTTTACCATTTCTGGGTTTTGTTGCGATATCTCAAACTGGTTTCTGATGTTACTACATTTGTTGCCATGCAGAGACTGGTTGCAATATCTGGCTGTGGCCATCTTCCACATGAGGAATGCCCCAAGGCATTACTTGCAGCTATTTCACCTTTCATAATCAGATTGCTACACAAACCAGAATTGCAAAGGCAGTAGGACACCTCGTTTCAACTTTACATAAATAGGATTCTTATCTATTGTAGGTGCTTTCTATCATTATCTCTCTTTCTTTTTTTTTTTCCTTTTTTTCAAGCAATTTATCCCGAAATGAAGAGACAAATTTGACCTCTTCTTTTGGGTAATTTTGATGTGTTCCGAGCCTTACCCTAACCCTAATTATCTGGGGTGTTTGTAGAGCTCTCACCTTTAGTTTTTTTCCTTGTGATTTTTTATGTTGAGGTTTAAATTACTGATGCTTGTTTCAACAGTTCCAGTTATTTGCCACTTAAAAAGAGTGGCAAAATGGCGTATATTTGTACATTTATGAAAATTGGCAATGGCATTTCAGCATTGTGTCAAAATTGAAAGATAGATTGGACAGGCCTATATATATATTTGAGGGGAGATTTCCTTAAATTTTTTTATTTTTTATCTTTATATTAATATTTTAAATATATTTTAAGATTAAAGTTAAATAAAAAATACTTTTTATTGTTAAATAATATTTTGGATGGAACCATATTCAAATTTAAAAACCTTATCCAAGGGTCAAATAAAATTGGGCCAGTGGTGCATAGACAGGTGTAAAGTGAGTACCATTTTATTTGTTAAGTAAAGAATAAATCTTTAACATAGAAGTGGGCCAACTTTTTTTTTTTTTTTTGCATGCAATGCTGTTGCATAAAATGTAATCCACTAAACTATTTGCTCCAAAAATAAAACCACCCATTTAATTTGCTTGATATGAAAAGAAAAATTCATGTATTAAATGCAATGACTTATTTATGTTATCATAAGTTCAATAATTAAAGGTACCTCTTCAAGCCTTTAGCTTAATTGTTAAAAATGTTTGAAAAGATATTAAAAATCTAATTTCGAATCAAATCTTTCTTACTTGTACTAAGATTTTATCTTCTTTATGCAAAAAAAAATATATATATATAACATTTAAAATGCATTAATGTGTCTTACTGTATTTATTGTATCTAAAGTAGTGCTTTGAATTATAATGGATTTTTGAAGAATCATTCTATTATAGGGAAAAAATAGAATCGTTTAGCTTAGATAATTTACACAATCACCATAGTATTTAATAAATAAAAAATTATTAAATATATTAATAGTAAATTTTTTTAATTTTACAAGTGAGATTATAATGAAACATTATATTTAAAAGTTAAAAAAAATTAGTTAAAAAAAGTGAGACATGTATTATCATTTTAATCTCACTTGTGGAATTAAAAACCTCCGTTGTCAATGTATCAAATAATTTTTTTTAATAAATTTGAAATTCAAATAACACTTATAATTTTTTCTTTCATCCTCATATTGTATCATCCTTTATTAAAAAAAAATTAATGAAGGTTATAAGTAGAAATAACAAACTTGGAGGTTCCAATTGTTGGTATTGTAATGTTGAGCCAGAAATGATTTGGTAAGTGAGATTTTGGAAATAGTCATGAGGCCTTCATCACAAAATTTGACCATAATAAAAGGTTTTATCAATTAATGTAAACATAATTATTTATAATAATTTAGACATGACTTATTCTTATAGGAAAGGATGAGATTTGAGATCCAAGTTACTTCTTTATATATTTACTCAAATACTTTAATTTGTTCTATTTATAATTATCTTTTAAAAAAATTTAAATTGAATTGGTATTTTGATTTTTTTCTCCCTCTCCTTGTAATAAATTCTCATTTATCGTGTTAAATAACATTAAAAATATTAATATAAAACCATAATATACTTTTATCTTATCTTGTCATTTTAAATATATAAAATTTATATTTGATACACTATGTGTAAGGTGCTATAAATTATCCTATCATTAATTAGCAAATTTAAAATTTTAAAATTCTTAAAAATAAATATTTTAAAATTTTAAATATTGAATTATGTTAAACTAAATTAATGAGATAATGACTTGTGATGTATTGATAGCATCCATACACAAAATGTGCATCAAATATAAAATTCCAATATATGTATGCACCCATATACATATATTATATATATGGGGAGGGATAAACTTACATTAATGTAACTTTTATTTTTTTAAATTTTTTGATCAAAATTATTAAATTTAAAAATATTATTTTGACACCAATGACTTACAAATTTAATTTTAATTCAAAAATAGAAAATATAAAAATTATGCTATTATAAAGTGGGTCACTACTTTATATATATATATATATATATATATATATATTTATATTTATATATATGTGGAGAGGGATTAGACAAAAAAATTTATATTTTTTTTTAATAATTGATTTTAATAAATTCAATAAATGAGATTAAATAATATATATTTTTGATTTATCTCTCACATTTCTTAAATTTATTAAAATTAATTATTAGAAAATGGTGTAAAATTAAAAAATTTTATATTAACATAAGTTGATCTTAACTTTATATATACATATACATAGGAATAGATCAATTTATATCAATATAAAATTAAAAAATTATATATATATATTTTAATAATTGATTATTTATATAGAAGATGGATCAATTAATTTCAATAAATGCATTCAAAGATTGAGATTAAATATTATTTCTTTTTTAGTATAAATTAATTCCTCCCCTTTGTATATACAAACTCATGCATAGTTGCATTCATATATAAATCGCAAGATGTTCTTATGTAAAAAGTCATTACCCGAATAAAACCACAATCTTTACCTCCTTCTTTGCCTAATGTTTAGAGTTTTAGACTTTAGTCTTGTAACAAGTAAAAAAGTACAAGTAAAAACAAAGTATCAACCGACGATCCTTTCAACTTTTCTTCCCTCTTTTAGCATTTTTTAATGGAAAACCCCACAAGTCCCCTTCCTTTCTTCACTCCCATTTTCATGTTAAAGCAGTAAGTTTTGCTATCATTTCTTTTCTTTTCTTTTTTGTTTTCAGTGATTCTTTGCAATACCCATTTCTTACTTCTCTTCAGAGACTCCATGGATCAGGTGGGTTTCCTTCATTTTCTCATATTCTCTTTGTAATTTTTTTTTGGTTTCATATTAAGGCTATTGGTGTGTTTGAATGTTGTATCTTTTGCCCTTTTTCTTTTTGATTTCCTTTACTTTATCCAAAAATCCACGTACACTTGCTCTTAATGGGTTTGGTTTGTGCAATTTGGTTTCTTGTTTAGCAAGAAAGTTAAAATGAAAAGGAGTTTCAAAGTGGAAAAAAGTGGGCTCTGATTTAAGATGAAAGCCGTTGGGGGGGGGGGGGGGGGGGAATGTGGTACATAGGTGGCTTACCAAATAAACCATATGGAATTTTGGATGCTTGAGGGCCAACCTTTTCTCCATATTCACAACAACAAAATGAAGATATTCATTCCCATCTTCCTTGAAATTGTGTGCTTTATTGTTAACAAACTTGGGCGAGGACAATTTGCATTACTTTTTTTGCACACTTACACTTTTTGAAATATTACTACGTTTGACTTTTTAGGAAGTAATGTTTCACGTTTGATCCTTATAGACATAATTAGATAGGAATCACCCTTGCAAGGAAAACAAGATTACCATCGTTAGGGTGCTATCATTCGTGCAGTTATTCTTTTCATAGTTGTTTCGGTATCATGACAATTTTAATTGACCAGTTTTTGCTCAAATAAACACTCAATGATTAGCAAATGTAAGCTCTTATTTATTTATTTTTTTTAAATCTTAAAAATAGATATCATGAAGTCCTTCGACAATGTTGATAATGAAGTATAGAAAATGAGAAATTGGTATCGTGACTATGATAGGCAATCCGATATAACATGGCTTGGAAAATTTTCAGTTTATACAAGAGAACTTGTCAGCTATTGTCCTTGCATATAGGGGGCAGTAATACTGAAGTGTTCACTTAAGCATATGAGTTGAGGGTTGGAAAAACAAAATTTTTTCTTTCTAATTTCATTTAATATTCTAGAGAATATCTAAAATATGAGAAAAATCAGTATGCTTTTTCAATCTATTTGTCATATTTCTTTCTTTCTTTCTATTCCGATTTCTGCTGCCTACATGTTCAAATATTTATCTTTGCAGTCCATTTTAAGATTTATCCCAAAGTTGTCTCCTAGCATTTTTTCGTAGATATCCCATTCTCATTGTCTAGTTTGCGTCTTCTTGGGTGGTGTTGTTATACTTGAACATGCATTTTTAATGTTGTCTATTTATTTCTAGAGTGTCAGAGACTAGTTTTTCAAAAGCTTAAAGGCCCTAAACTACTAATGGGAGATATTATGACTGGTGAGAAGCATGTCAAGGAAGTAAATGAAGAAACTGATGTTGAATTTAAGTGGGGTAATAAGTTGGAAGTTGATGAGCAGAATCCGACCAGTCAACTTTATGAATCCTTTGTATATGATGGTATTGAGTATTCTCTTTTTGATTGTGTCTATTTTGGGCCTGAGCCTGTGTTTAGTGTTGGTAAGCTTGTAAAAATATGGGAGCTACCAAACCATGAAAGGATGGTGGAGGTTGTATGGTTTTTTCGTCCCGAAGAAATAAGAGATTTGTTTGGAGATGATGAGTCACTTCAAAATGAACTACTTTTAGCATCTGGGGAAGGCAGAGGCCTTTCCAATGTCAATGTTCTGGTAATGTTTAACTGCCTACCTTTCTAGAAGGTTGCTTCTATAATTCTTTTAAGTTTCTTAACACCTTTTGATTTTAGGAAGCTATTTCTGGGAAATGTAATGTTGTTTGCGCATCAAAGGACAGGCGCAATCCTCAACCTTCTAAAGTAGAATTAAGTATGGCTGATTTTACATTCTATCGAACTTTTGATGTTGGAAGCTGCAGGGCAGTAGATAACTTTCCAGATACAATAGCCGGAATAAAAGGTTTGTGACTTTTCGTGAAAAGGCTGTTTCTTTACTGATTGTTATGCTTCTAATGCTAACTTTTTGACATTTACTGCATTTTAGCACAACATTGTGTATGTTTAGCTTACAGAGATACATATGTACCGCAGTGGAGTACTTTTTCAACAGAAGTGATCAAAGGCTCCTTTATCCTGGTACGGTCCCACCAAATTTGAATGAATCAGTGGAAACATCAACTAGACCATCAAATATTCAGCAGCCTAAGTCAGTAGGAAAAACATTCAATTGTAACAGTTATGGCACCAAACTGAGTCCAATTGCTGAAGGTAGCCTCTAAAGGAACTTTTTGCATATAAAGTCTGTATTTATTTCTTTAATGTCATTCAAAAAATCCATTGAAGCGGCATCTCACTCTGGTTAAGAAGTGCATTTCTCAGATAAGAAGGACAAAACTCGGTTTGTTGGAATCTCTTCTGAAGGCAAAACCCAGTTAAAATATGAGGTTTTCTCAGAAAAGGATGTTCCTGAAAATCGAACTATGAAGAGGATAAAGTATCTTGCTCTTTCTGAGGACCTAGAATTGCAGTCCTATGGTTCACCTTGTCTAAAGCTTAGGGCAAAGGGGAAAAAGTTTGGTCCCATAAATAGAGATTTGGACAGAATGGATTTTCCATACCAGGACCAAAAAATCTCCAAGGGAGAAACAATGGTGCGAAAGCCAAGCAAGTTTGGAAATGAAGAAGCTCCCAGACTTTTGAGGATAATAATATCAAGATCAGTAAGCCCTTCATCGACGTCAAAAGAAAGCCATATAATGTAAGTTAAATATAATCCCATAAAATTCCTACATGATTGGTTTCTTGGAAAAATGTTACGTATTATCTAAGAACATACTAAATCTAAGTATTTGATGCAACTTATATTTCAAATTTTTAAGTCACTGTAGACATATGAAAAGGCTATGTATGTAGTGTAGATACTGATATGAAAACTATTGCATTTGCCTGTACAATGCTTTTAAATCGGGGATATGTTTATAAACAATATCATATTGCTTGTGAAATTTTGGTACAAGGAGTACTAACACTTGAATCAAGGATTTTAAAAATATCATATTACTTGTGAAATTTTGGTACAAGGAGTACTACCACTTAAATCAAGGATTTTACCCTACCCGCCCACGCACCCTTGTGATGTGTGCTAAGCCCATGTAGCTTGCTTTCTTATAAGTCGTGGACCATTCTTAATTAAGAACATGCAACAATATTTCCCATTACTTTAAACTCATCTACGAAGAAGTCTTTTCCATATTTCCACATGTAGTCATATCATACTTCTACACCGTAAAGGACATGTCTGAATGTTCCATCATCCTATTGCTCAAGAGTGTCTAAGAAGTATAGGGTATAATTTACATTAAAAAACACCAAAGTATTTGTTATTTGTCAAGATATGTTTAGGCACTAATTTATGATATGAAGTTTTGGGATGGATAACACATTTAACACTGATGAGCTATTTAACAGTGGTTTAAAATGAATATAACGACCGTACTAATTTATTCTGCCGTTATACTTGCAGGAAAAAGGAAATTGGTTCGGAGAACAAGTGAGCCTCCACCTTTAACAACACTATGGAATTCCTTTCCACTCTACCATCTGATATTGCATGTAGATTATTAAAGGGTTTGACATAGAACGTTATGTCTGATTGTTTCATTATTATTCACTTTATAAATTTCACTTTCCTCTCTTTTATCAGCCTTGGGAAGAAAAACTGCAAAGAGCAAATGAAAGAGGCACCCTTATCTTACTAGAAAATCTTGATCCCTCATTCTCATCATCAGAAGTTGAGGTACATTTGCTGAAGTCCTTGAGCTTTACTACTATATTGCCCTGAGTTCTTTGCATATGTATTTGGGTTTCCCGAGCCATAAGGTGGAATGTACCATCTTAATCTAGGGATTGAGATTGTGTTTTGGTTTTGGATTTAGTAGGAGGATTAAATTCTTCAATTGTAAATATATATCATAGTTTCAAGTTTAAAGAGGACTAAGATATGCTAACCACCGATTAAATGAATTAATCTTGTAGATACATATTATTGAGCTTATCTATATTGTTCTCTTCTTCTTACTATAAAACAACTCATGTTCAAATTATGGTGGATGATGAGATGCAATCTGTGGTTCTGGCTAAATCTGATATTTGATTTTCATATGGATAGTTAATTTGAGTTCAAATCAGAATTTTTCTTTTTAGCAGACAATGGTAATTGCAGATCAAAACTGTCTTTTACCTCTGAGGTTGTAGTTCTAGCTTAAAAATTATTTTCCTTCTGGAAGATAACTCAAAATAAGTAAAAGAAAAGGGATTGGTGTTTTCAAAATGTGGCTAAATAAATGGCTCATTCCTATGATTTACAGATAGCTTATAATATCCCACACTGCATTTTTTTTCATGGAAAAAAAATGCAGTGTGAGATATTTCTAATAATCTATAACTGCCACGCCACTTGTCAACTAGAAAGAAGTCTATGTTTTGCTTTAATTGCGTCAAAGACCAGCAAGCTTATGACTTGTTGCTTACTAAAAAGCATGCTTCATAACACAATCAATATGGTCTTTTTGAAGTGTGATTATTAACCATTTTCCTTTGTCCTACTAAGGATCTAGTTTGGCAATGTCTTGGTGAAAAGGTTGAAGCAAAGATGATACCACGGAATTCCTTTTTTAGCCCCGACTCTGGTATGGCATCTCAAGTTGCCTTGTTACTCATTCCTGGTTATGTTACTCATTCCTGGTTATTTTTTCCTTAAGTTTTGATGAATGATATGCCAATTTGTTATTTTTTGCTAACAGGACGAGCTCTGGTTATATTTAAGTCACAAATTGCAACAGAATTTGCAATATCTGAGTTAGAAAAGAGATGTCTAATGCTGGAAGGTGGAAGGTAGCATGTTCTCTAGCAATCTCGGAGTACTTTTAAATGTCATTCTCATTTTCTTGTTCCTTCATGATGATCTTATTCCGCAGGAATTCATTTTCCTGGATTTGTAAAATGCAACTGAAAGTAAGAAATGAGGACGATCATTGACTGTTGAACCTTCCAAATACTTAAAGGAACACTGGAATTTTTTTTTTTTATCAATTAGGAAATGTTTTAGAGATAAAACAGCCATATGACACCTAGAGAATCAAAGAAAATCGATTCCCATAGAACAGGAATTTACACGAAAATACTCAGTTCAGTGTAGTTTGTCCTGCTATTGACATCGTTGTTTTGTACTTTGATGATTTGATCTACAGAATAGTTGTCGGTGGAAGAGTGACTCTGGAGAAGCCTGCAAAATTGGTTACATTTGTGGGCCATTTGACTATCCCCAAAGCCAAACTTAAACAGCTGCGTTTAGAGATGGTGATTGATGCTTCTTATTTGTTAGTCATGCTTCATCATTTCAGTATCATGGTTAACCATTATAATTGATTCTTACCTTCAGCTGTTCTTTTTTTCTTTTTCCCTCCATTCAAAGGGAGAAGCAAAGTCAACCTCACATTGTTCCCAGGCCAACACTATTGAGTATGACATGGCTATGGAATGGCGTTTATTGCAACAGCAATCTGATAAGTGGTGGAACCTGATGCATGAGGTGCAGCTAAAATTCTTTGAATATCAATCTTCTTTTTAAAGGCTTTGTTATGTCGGAGGATTGAATAAAATATGCTTTGTTTCACTCTTCACTTCCAGAAAAATGCAACAGAGATTCAAAAACTTAGAAACGAGCTGAGGATACGGCACAAAGATAACACTAAATTGGCAAGAAAATGGTAAGTAAATTTGAAACCATTCATTTGCATTTATTCCCTAGAGGGGGTAAGTAGTTCTCTGAACTAAATATAGTAGTAATCCACTTTGTGCATGCATCGTGCAGATTGATGAACAGGTGGATTAGTCAGTCAGCAAAATTAATGACAAGTGAAATTAGTACTAGTTTATGTCAGAGGGAGGTGAGGCATTGTTTTGATGGGATACGATTCTGTGAAGATGTTAAAGAAGTAACAAGTCCAGAAACCGCTGGTTTCCGAAGTGAAGATAGGACTGGGAAAAGTATGAAAATTGTAGTGAAGATGGGACCGGGGCTCCATATTTGTACCCAATCAAGCTCTTTATCACAAAGGGAGATTAACTTTTGTTACAATCAATATGGAAACTGCATGGCACGAAGACAGGGCCCAGAATTGAAAAAAACATTGAAACATAAAATAAAGTTGTTTTTCCTTTCTTCGTCTTCCCTTGATTATCACTCTCGATCTCTCAATCCAACTACTGCCTCTTTCAAGTTGTTTCAGCCCTTTTTGAGACATTTTTTCAACCATAATGGTATAAGGTTCGGTCTCATGTGGTCTGATCAGATCGAGTAGTGGCCGGAGCAACTTCGGTTAAGTGAGATCGGGGAGTGAGAATTAGAAGAGAAAGAAAATAAAGATTTTTCTGAAAAAAACATTTGCTTTTTCTTTCCCCCATGGTCGGCAAATCAACCCGAAACCGTCGGGTTCTGACCTGACCCGACTATTTTAGGGTCGGATTTTTTTTTTCAAAAATCGGGTTTCGGGTCGGATTGGATCGGTTTTATTTTTTAAAAATGTCGGATTCGGGTTGGGGTCGGGTTTGTATGAAATCCGACCTTACCCGACCCAGAATATTTACCAAAATACCCTTAATATATATATATAATTTTTTTTAGGGTTTTTGAATTTTAATTTCTTTTGGGTTTTGGCCGCTCTCTTTCGTCTTCCTCAGCCGTTCTGTTTTGCATTTCTGCTTCTATCTGCCAGACTGTCAGGTTGCTTTACACTCACACAGGTGCTGCCCACTCCCAAGCGTGCATTTCAATTCCGCCAGTTCTTTCTATTTTTTCCAAAAACATTATTTTAATTATTATTTAATCAATTCAGTCCTCCTATTTTAGTCTTGAATAAATTTCAAACCATTTAATTTAAACCCTCTTTATCAGATCCAAACCGTTTCTTTGAGTCTGATAAAACCTAAAGCAAAACAAAAAAAAAACAAGAAGAAGAAGGAGAAGAAGCTTATTTTTTTTTCTCTGAAAACAACTTTAACAGTTTTTTTTTTTATTGCTTGGTTTTGAAAGGCTTGTTTCTCAACAACCTTAATCTTTTGTAAGAAATTTTTTTTAATTTTTTAGAATTTTTAACTTTCGTTTTTAAAAAGCTGTTGCTTTACTTTCTTGTTCATCTTTCTCGATTTTTTTAGTAAGCAGTTTTAATTTTCGTTTTTTCCAACGAAATTCGAAACGTTTCAATTTTCATTTTTTTTCTCCTTTTATTTTCTTTTTCTTCCTCAAAATGTCTGCTATGTCGATCTTCTTCTAAGTTTTTCAGTGCGACTTTAGCAAGGATATTAATTTGAATTTCTAAAAAAAATAACTTTTTTGGTTGATTTTCGAGGTTTTTCTTTCAAAAATGATGTTATCAGCGTCGCCGACGACTTTAGCGAAAAGTTCGCTAGATTTAGGTAGGAAACAGGCCATAGATGATTTTACTAGATGTTATTTTCAGGCATGTTTGCTATGTCTCCTTATTCTCCCTTTATCTCTTGTTGCCTTATTTGAAGGCAATAACAAACATAATTATGATAACATTCTGATCTACAAGAAATTTAAGTTAATGAGTTACTACCTTGCTTGTATGAAATTCACTGAGAAATTTCGTTCTT